GGCAATCTTTCCTTCTTTCTTTCCTTGGCGTCGATGTGTTCTTGGATGTTTGTCAGTGTCTTTGCTGTGTAAGTATCAACGTGGTTGTCGCAGTCAGGAGTTGGAACGTTGCAGTATGACAAATCATCTTCACATTGCCCAACCGCGCTTCTATACTTTCCACAGAGAGCACGCGCCTCATCGGTTCGAACCCTCACCTTGACAGTAAGAACACCAGCTCGATCTTGTTTCGGTAGAGCTTCCCTCTGTAATGGAGATCCCATATCATCCCAGTTGTTTGGAATGGGTACGTAAGAGTGCAAAATGGTATCAAGTTGGTAAGGAAGTCCTGTGCCTTCAAGACTTTCGTTTGTCTACCCCCTCATTGGGAAGTAAATCTTCGAAATTCAGGAAATCTAGAACTGCTTGATCATGGTTTGATGTCGGAAATATCTTCTTTCTTGTGATTTGCCTGCAGAGTAGGTGAACATATCCAAGAGTTGCACATGCCTGATCCTGCCTTCGATATTCAGGGAGAACAAGAGTCATCTTCAGCGCAGTTTCGAGGTTTTGGAACTGGCCGTAACTGCCCTCAATAACCATTGGATGCGTTCCCATTTGCTTTCGGGATTGGTAACGTATGCCTTGTAACAATTGCGGTACGCCTCCCCAGTGTTCAACTGATGATTTTGGTACTCGTTTTAGGTGGTGGAGCTAGTGGATCGTTATCAAAAAAGCAGAAATCGTCGATCCTTGAGGCGTGGATCGCAAGCAATTGCCACACACAATGGACGAGCATCGTGGCACCACACCTTGATGTTAGCACCTGAATGTGGAAGCACAAGGTCTTTTGTGAAAGGAAATTTGCCACCCATGTTGTATCTTGTCATGAGGAAGTTCATCAACTTTTTCCGGCTCAAGTACTCCGGACCTCACCAAGCTTCTCGTCACCCAATCGGCTCCAGTTTCATCCAAGTGCCATGTAACACATCATCATACGCAGTCAAAGGCGCCTTGTTCTTTCGAAGGATATCCATCAATTTGACCCCCGAGCCTGTTTCTTATCCAAGGGAAGGAACGTCTTCTTTGAATCTCCACAATATTGCCGGAATTGGTTGTGTTCCTATCGTGGAGGTTCTTTTCATGGTTCCATTCCTTGGGAATTTGTCCAGGGTAGCTGTTGATCACCACTGCTGTCTCATCATCATCTTCATACTATCAAATCATCTGTGTCTTCTTGCGAATCGTCGTCACTTCCTTCCTCATCAGTTGCTCTATGGCTTCCTCATCTGCTCCTCTTTTGCTTCCTCTTGCCGTCATCTCGGGTACCAAAACGCGGGTCAGCTGCTGGTTTTCTATTGTCTTCCTCGTTTTCAGAACCAATACCACCACCATTTGCATGGCCCAAGCAATTTAATCTTCCTCCACCATGTCTTGGTGAATGGCTGGCATTTGACTTGATGTGCCTCTCTCCTCTCCTGCAGATCTTCTAACTTGCGTGGTGCTTTAGCGGGTTTCCAGTGTCAGGTGCACAAGCCCTGCAGTAGTCATCTCCCTTTTTCTCCTAGTACAGTACTTCTTGTTGCTTTGCCAATGCCAAGTGAAATTCTGCCTTGCTGCAATGCAACCCGAGATTGGTTGGTGTGAGCACTTAGTGCCCTCTTGCTTTCAAACCAAGCTTACAGTAGTCGCAATACCAATAACCCATGTACAACTAGTAGTAGTAGCTAGCTATAGTAATTGCCGATCGCTAGCCCTATAAAGGAACTGTAATACCTTAGCAAAGTCTACACGACCTTACAAAATGTGAGTGTGGTTACAAAAGCTAACCCCCAACCGCTCTGTACCGGATTCTGTATGTAGTTTCCATGTTCATTGGATGGCATAGGGGACAAAACGGACCACAAATTTGGTCGGTACCTATGGGGTTGGGAATTAGGATGCATGCAGGGTTCCAAAACGGTGCATACTGCCACACCAATGGAGAACCCAGTATATGTTCCACACAAACACCATCCAAATCCGGAGCAATGACGTCACCAATCGCCTAGGGCGCATGTCGTTCGGTACCTCCAGACCTCGCTGTTTTCGCGAGACCCCATTTGCGCTTCTTCAGATGTACCCGAAAGTAATATTTACCCTTTTTGTTTTGTGCCTACATACATCGCCTTCTCTCTCTGCTTTTCTATTCCAGAAAAGGCTCAGTTCAGATAACCCGAGCAAAAAAGTAGCTACCAAGAAATCAAAGGTAAGTCAAAAATGGATACTGTTCCAGCATGATAAGATGAGTTGTAGCTAAGACATCTTTATTGTGTTGTGCTATGCTTTCACCTCTCAGAAAAACGAAGAAACCCAGGTGCGAGCGCAGACAAGCTGCACTCGCCCAGACAGCTAGACACGACTAGTAGAGGATTAGGTGAGTGGAGAGACTCGGCCATTTACTGAGCGACCGTCTCCAGTCCCCAGGGTACCATTCGGGACTGGGAGTCCCGGATGGATCCACACGGCAAAAGGGAGTCCCGGAATGTGATGTTCCACGGGACAGCCTTGAGTCGTGCAACCAGGGAGGGAGAGGTGGGTTAATCTAATCTAGGTTCTTGCCTTCAGCGTCGCTGAATGAAGAATTGTGAGCTGAAGAGAGACAACCTTCTTGCGATCGGTAGTTCAATGGCTGGTCTTGGCTAGGTGGCTGGCTTTAGTGATTATGGTTGCCGCTGTCGATCTTGCCAAATGTGGTCTTGGACGGGCGTCGTTGCCTTAAGGGTAATCTTGTTCGAGAGCATTGAGGAGCTATGCGGTGCATCATCATGTGGGGTATCCATTTCGGAACGCAGGTGATGACCTGCGAGATGTAGAGATGTACTTGAGTTGTAGGTGAGGAGCGTGGGAATTATTAATTTTGCAAATTGTGAGATGGTCCTCTCGGCAGCCATGATTAGGGTCATAGTTGCGAGAACCCATCAGGGTTCAAGTTTCCACGCTGCGGGGCGTGGAAACTCGGACGGGGGGTTCCCCAGGTCTGCTGCTGCTCAACACGGTGTTCGCTCCAGTTTTAACAGTCCAGTCATCAAAGTTGATATACAAGGGAAACATCATCAGCTGAGACGATAGGATATATTTGCCAAGACAAGAGGTGGTTGTTCATCTATGGCGTAGGCTCCAACACTTGTTCCAGCGTCGTATTGATCGTCCAGATGAATGGTAAAACCATGTAATTTTAAAGTCAGCAGAGTGTCGGCTGCCTGTACCGGTACTGTCTTGGTATCCTCGATCCAATCCAAGTGGGCAGTTGAAAAGTTGACCCATTCTTGTGTTTCTTCTGGTCTCACGAGCACAGAAAAACCACACACCATAAGTAAGAAACGTTTTCCCAGGACAATCCGGCAAATAGGTGCCCAAGCTAATTATGAATCACAACTGAATGGTTGCACGGTTGACAAGCGAGATTTAAACAAGATAATCTTCTAAATAGTCTCCTAAAACTGGTGCGAGTATCCAAAACGGTCGCCTATTTTTCGATCGCCTAAACGATCACCTAATTCTTCGAGAAACAACCCGTTAAATCCTGCCCTAGTAGCAGTATCCTAAATCCAGGCAGTAGCCTAAATAGTCTCCTAATACCTGCAATGGTCGCCTAAATGATCACCTATTTTTATCGGTCACCTAACTAAACGATTCCCTATTTGTGACTTCAATACGACTGTTCAATCGTGAATCGATCGTCACAAATCACCATTGCCGGATCGTGCAGTTTGAGTGGTGGGGCTGGTCAACCTTAACTTTACTGCAGGAAGAACGTTCCTGATCCAACTGAATGTTCCGTGAAATCTTTGGCACTCCTTCCGCAATGGCGTCAGTAGCCACAAACCGAGGATCTCTCATTATTGGAGTGAGTCTTCAATCTATCAGTACCAGTACTGTCTCCCCACTGCTAGCTTGCTACCTGCCTATTACATCTACTCCAACAAGTGAGTAGTCAGACTAGTCACGGTAGCATAATAGCATGACATCGTATCCACACACGTACGTGGCCGGCGAAGACGAAGGTCGATTGGCGGCACGAGCGCAGAATTTGGGGTTGGACCAACATGAAGCTCGAATGCCAAAGAAAAGTTGGGCCGCTCTGTTACTGCAGGATGATACGTTGACGGCGGCACGGATGCACAGTGTGGGCATTGTGGCGTCGGACGAACGCGTGGACGAATATGGCACTCTGCATTTGATGAGTCTGCGCCGCAGAAAGAAACGGCAAAAAGCACCCCAGTACGATCAATTGACGGATCTATTCGCGCAGCCAGGAGGAGCCGCTGCTGCTGTGCCTCCTGTGGAGACGCCAAGAGAAGAAGATGAAGAGGAAGACGAAGAAGAGGATGAAGTGATTGACATGGTCGAAGGAGGATCCTTGGGAGCCGCGGCCTTTGGAATTGTCAAGGGCACTGTGGGGCCTGCCATTCTATAGTAAGTACAATACAGTAGTTTGCGTATGGCATCGTCAGACATATCAGTCGATCCATCTATCCTTGCATGGTTCATCTCATCTCCTTGTCCGTTTTCTATTGTTTCTTTTTCATTTTTCCAGTCTCCCCAGTGGCTTTTACAAATCGGGCTATGCCGTGGCCATCCCCGCCATGTTGGCTGCGACGTGCATGTTCATTTTCAATGCTTATCGATTGCTCGATTGTTGGAAAGTCGAAAGCGATCGCAATCACAAGGTAGAATCCCGACTCAAAGAAGTACAGGCACTCTTGTCCAAGGGAAGTGGCAACAATCTACAACTACAGCAGCAGCAACAGCAGCAGCCGCCACCACCACAATATGGAGCCACCACGGTACAACAGGATCATCTCTTTCAAGCCAAATTGCTGACATATCCCGAATTGGCCAAACGAGCGTTTGGACCCTACAGTCTCGTGGTGGAATTGGGCATTGCCTTTATGCAATATGGAGTCTGTTTGACCTATCTCATTTTTGTACCCGATAATTTGTACCAATGCGCTCGAGCGTTGGGATTCGGCGACAGTGTCACCAAATTGACCTTTTTGTGGATCATGATTGCCATTGAAATACCACTCTCGTGGATCCGCGATATTCGAAAACTCACACCCACCAACGTCATTGCATCCTTTCTCATTCTCTTTGGACTTTGTGCCGTCCTGGTCATTGCCTTTGTCCAAGGCACCGAGACTGTCACCCTCGGAACGGGTGCAACCGAAATTGTCTTTGTCCAAAACATTCAAACGATCCGACCATTGACCGATACGTGGTTCCTCTTTATTGGTACCGCCTTTTTCATGATGGAAGGAAGCATCACATTGATTGTACCGCTCCAAGAAGCCGTCTATCGACCCGAAGATCGCGCCAAATTCCCCGACATGAATCGCACCGTGACGTCCTGGATTTTGGTCTTTTACATTGTCTTTTCCTTTTTTGCCTGTGCTGCCTTTGGAAGTCATATCCAAACCGCATTGACGGCATCTCTTACGGGAACACTCGCCACCATTGTTCAATTGGCCTATTCGATTGCCGTCATTTTGACATTTCCCCTACAAGCATTTCCTGCCATGGAAGTGGCCATTCGCATGCTACAGCAAGTCACAAACACTTATGAATCGAATGAGGATCATGCCAGCAGCAGTGGTTGGAAACGCAACGCGTTTGCTACCGTGTTGGTCATCACGTTGGGGGTGATTGCTGTCGTGTCCATTGACTATTTGGGAAATGTGGTCAGTATACTGGGATCACTGTTTGGAATTCCACTCGCATTGGTATTCCCACCCCTCATGCACAATCAACTGGTCAAAGATTCGCCACCGCATACCAAATATGTCAATTATTGTGTTGTGGTTGTGGGATTCCTGGCCATGGCTTCGGCATCCTTCAATACCATTGTTACATGGGATCAGGGTGCAGAGAGATAAGGTCTTGTACGTATGACTACTACATGTACTACAAAAGCTGGACACGACTCGACTCGATTCTGGCCCGGAAGAGCTACCGTTTTACTTTATGATGTGATCAACCATTCATACGAGCTATGTGTTTTAAAATTCAACATTACTAGAAAGCAAACTCGTTCAGATCCAACAACTTTTTTATGGGCTCCAGTCACACAGGCGGTTACGTTCATTCGCCCGAACTGGAATGACCGAGCAAAGACACCGTCTAGCTAGTCTGATTCTTCGTTTCGTTGAATTGTTCCAACGTGGACTCGACGGCTTTGGTTGCAGTAGTGTGTGTAGCGCTAGCTGGTGAAGCCCTTGAGAGAGGTCAAAACTGCCTCCTATTATCGGGCAAGTTTCTTGGCAAAATCCTTAGGCATCAAACGAGCCGCTCATCAGTTGCTTGAACTGACGCTCCCTTGCTGTCACAACGCTTCTGAAGCCCCCAAAACTTGCTTTTTAAAGCAGGCAGGTTCTGGATTGGGCCCAGAGGTATGTATACCGTTACATGCAATGGCAGGAGTGGCTTGGCTTCTGCTGGCTGGTGAGCCACGAGTAATAGTTGAAATGGCTAGATGTGATGGTCAAAGTGGGAGCTTGGGCTGCCAAGGGGTGGGACCCAACAATGTAGTAATGTGGAACCTTAGCTTAGGCTCCTTAGAAAGGTTTTGTTACCGGTAGCGCAGTGATTGTACTATGCTCCAAGTTGTGTTGGTCTCCTCACGTGCAGCAGTACCGTAGGGTGAACTGGCTCATATTGCTCAGATGATGTTCCAGCTATACGGTACCCGACAAAGCAATCCGGACGCTTATTCTAAAAGGCAAGCAATTGCATTCTCCCCTGCTGAAGAACATCCTAACCTTTGCGCTCGTCTTTATCAGCTTTGTTACCGCATATGGGATGGTGTCAATGGATGGTTTGACTTACCTGTGTGGTCTATCCACAAGGGAAAATTTACCACCCAGGTTTCTCCCAGCTGCAATGAGAATGCCCATGTGCTACCTGAAGTTCCTCGACTCGACGAAGATGGCATTGAAGCTATCGATGTTCTTGAAGAGATTGGACTCCGCGAGAGTGTGGAGTTCATGATGCAAACTGGTATGGTTTACTGGCTCAACAACCATGTGGTCTATCACGGTCGTGACTCTTGGCGATTCAATGGTGACACAGATGCGGACAAGACGCAGACCAAGGAGGGTGCGGACGGCGGTCGTCTCATGCTTCGCATGTGGATTTCTCCTTACGAGACACGTGAGCTGCCCAGCACGGAAAAGTACAAGCTTTGTTGGGGTTCCACTGAGGCTGGAGTGCTCCGTGGAGGACTCGAGCCTGCTATCAAGTCGGGATTATCCCCCCAGCGAAAGGAACTTGTCGATGCTGTCAGCTCTGGGAAGGTTGACTACTACGGTCTCTTCAGGTGCAAGTACGGCCTTGATGCTTTTGAGGTGTAAAAGACCAAAGAAAACCAAAGAAGCGTTCCCCACCTTCTGCTTCTAGCCATGTTCCGCAGCATCTTTGTGTACGAACGATCAGGTTTGACTCAAGTGGGTACAATTTCAATTGTGTCGTAATCAAGTGAGTAAGATAAGCTGCAATTCCGCTACCGGTACGACTGCTTTGGCTGTTTCTCGTTTTAAGATTCAATCCAATGGGTACCAGCTCCCACCACTCCATGCCCAGGCTCCAATTTGACACCCTCGAGAGGAAACTTGCCTTGTCTCTGTAGGAACCTGGTGCATTGCTACGTGAGGCTTTGACTAATCCGCATCGGGGGACTTCCAGGGAGTGCTTTGTACCGGTACCGGTACGGAACTCAGTACGGTACACTTGCAGCGGTATGTGTTTTGCTGGCGCGTGGGTCGCAAAAGCAAAAACTGCAGGACGTGGATGCCGCGGTGGCGAAGCCAACGTTTTGGCTCACGTGATGTCCGAACTAGCTAGAGTGGCCTTTTCGATAATTGCATGCTTGGGAGCCATGCAACGGAGCATGGTATGGAACATCGTCCATTCGGCGCAGAAATTTATTGATGAACTCTTGTCGTTCGATGCGAATGGTTCTTGACAACTAGGAATGGCGAGTACAGAACATTGAACAACCTTTTGAATACTACTATGGCTGAGTACATATTAACCCCATACATAAATCTCCATTGGGGCTCTCTGCAGACGATGTTGCAAAACAAAAACAAACAAAAATTACGCAGCTTCTGGTATTACCCTGGATTTCTGCATGCCTTTGACGATTGTCGACTTGATAGAATCTTTCTTCAGAAGCTCCAATACTGCGGTCTGCGCCGCATGCGTTGTTGCCAAAGAAAACTTGGTGACAGAGCAACGGCGTTCAAAACGTCGTCGCTTCATTGCAGAAGTAGGCTGGGAATATGAACTCAAGGATCTGATGGAGTCGACGGTGGCTGTACCGTTACCATACCCGCAATTGCGGTAGAAGCCGGAAGTTGGATCATCTTGAACAACGCAACGCCTCTTCATCCCAGATGATGTGCTACAGGTAGGACTCTTCGTTGCCACTTGGTTGCTTCCACTCTTGGTGCAGTCCTCTACGAAACACTCTCCATAAAGACTCTCACAAGATGGCACGACAGAGCTGGCATGCTTCGAGGAAGTACGCTCCCGTACCGGTACCCGTACCGGCAGGGGTTCTTGCAACGAAAAGTTGAAGGTTCCAAAGCTCATGGTGGAGATAAAGAAGGAGCACGTTTGTAGTCAATAGTTGATTGAAGGTTGTGAGCAAGTCGATTCTACAGACCTTTCAGCAACTCGATGCTATAGACCAGAAGCAGCCGTCACTTCAAGTTCTTTTCTGGCTCCCCGAACAAATCGGGACCCAGCAGCAATTGACCACTGTTGAAGGATGTGGCGGAAAATGAACCCAGTCACTGTGAAAAATAACGAAGTATTATTTTAGGGCCGCACCGCACTTGACAATTCCGCTGAACGGTGCCATAATGCACCCAGTCACTGTGGTTCGTACGGTACAGCCAAACAACGAAGGTGCTGTTGAGTGACCTAAGTTCCTGTTTTGCCCACAATCACTGCAACATAGGAACATGAAGCAAAACTGTGTAATAAGAACGTTGAACGCACTAATGGAGAGGAGCCTCTCAGCCAGCCTGGCAATGACCAGCAAAGGCAGATCCAGTCATATTCAGCCAACAAGCAAACCTGCCACCCGAATCCGCACGGTATGGAGTGAGCAAATCTTACCGCCGACCGGTAATTCTAGCGGGATGAACTTATTTCCACTGCAGAACTCTACTACATGCAGAAATTCGAACAATCCAGGATCGAGCCTCTTTGTGTACCTAGCTAGCTCCTGCAGCAAACTTTGATTAGCCACTGTAGTCACTGCCCGTTGTCGGGTACCGACCCGTAGCTAGCTAAAACGAGGATGCAACCTCCAAGACCAAATAGAATTCTTCGCCTTGGGGAAATGCGGCTCCCGAGTACCTATGTTAGGTTGCTCGATGTTGCAAACGATCCGCTGCGAAACATCCCGACCGCAGCACCAAGATGGTACCGGTTCCTGGTGCCCTACGTCGGGGTTGCCTTCACTATTCCATCCCCCGTTGGAGCGGGATGCAACAGAGTCGAGTCTTCTTCAGGAGAGAAATGAGATGTCACGATTTCAATTCCCAGGATGATATTTTTGTTGGAGTGGATTATTTCTTTATATATTTCTTCAAGTTACACCTCAATATTGGTGCATGGAGCGGTCTTAGAGAATCGCTTCAAAATTCCAGCAGTAACCTTTCCTGGTCCCAATTCGTATGCCTGCTCAAAGTCCTTTCCAAGCATTAGGTCCATGGTGTTTTCCCAGAGAACAGGTGAAGTGACCTGAGTGGCCAACAGCTTCTTGATAGCATCAGGGTCAGAGTGGGGCTTGGCATCAACATTGCTGATCACTGGAATGCGAGGTTTCTTGATTTCCACATCAGCCAAGACATCTTCCAGAGAAGAAACAGCGGGAGCCATGAAATCTGCAATTGAGTTTTAAAAATGAACGTAAAGGGATTAGAAAGGACGATTCGAATAAGTCGCGGAAAAATGGTGTGAGACTTTGCCTCTTCCTAACAATAGAGTAGTAGAATCAAATCAGCCAATACCAAACATAAACCTACCAGTATGGAAAGCACCGGCAACAGCAAGCTTGACAGTCATGCGAGCCTTGAATTCAGGCTTGGCCAATTCTGCAACAGAGTCACAGGCAGCAGATGCTCCACTGACAGCGTAGTTACCCTTGCACAGGTAGTTGGCAATTTGAATTTCTTCTCCTGATTTTTCACTGGCCATGGCACATAGATCCTTGACCTTTTCACTGTCAAGTCCAATGACCGAAACCATACCTGAGTCTACGGCATCAGAGGCAGCTTGCATGGCTTCACCTCGAGCTTTTGTGATCTTGACTCCATCAGCAAAGGAAAGAGCACCAGAGAAGCAAAGGGCTGAGTATTCCCCCAGACTCAATCCCATGGCACATGTGGCAGCATCCAGAGCTTCTTGTCCTTCCTCTTGTTTGAGTTTTTCAACAGCTGCCATGCTGGCCACGAAAATTGCTGGCTGACTAATAACTGTGGAATCCAACTTTTCCTTTGGTCCTTCAGTACAGACCTCTAGCAAATCATATCCCAAGATTTCACTGGCTTCATCAAAAAGAGACTTGGCAGCAGGGACATCTTTGACAACTTCAGCACACATGCCCACAAATTGAGCTCCTTGGCCAGGGAACATGAAGGCCACCTTGGAAGAAAAATCATCAAAGTCACTGTCACTTCCAAAAATAGCTGTGCCACTGCGACTGCCAAAGGTGCGGGCCGCAGGCACAAAGGCAGCACTGAAGCGGGATGCTGCCAGCAAAATCATGGAGGAGAATACCAGTTTGACCATCTTGGAAGAATTTATTTTAAATAAAAAAGGAGAGAGGGAAAATTAATGACGTGCAGTAGTGGATAAGAGACGAGAAGCCCACACGAATAATTTGCAAGCCATCAACCAAAGCCACCAACACAGATTGACATAATCATCATCAACTCCAGCCGTCACACTCACCACAGAGAAGTGTTGTCTTCGCGTGTGCGGCGTAGCAAGAGAACCGCGATCTTTGCTTTGGAAGTGTCACGCCGAGGGCGATGCAATCACTGACGTCACTGCTGACAAACCGCGACTTACGTTGAATCGTATATGCTAAGGTTAGAGCTTTGAGCAATCAGATTGTAAAAGCCTGTAGAGCCAATATTTTACCACTTCGATAGACTGTGGACTCTCACCCACGCTGACCCACAGCCCACAGCACCCTCCTCAGATATCTGATTGCTGATACCGGTTGATCATGTCTTCTGATAGTATTGATAATACCAATACCAATACTGTAGCTACATGTAGTACTAATGCTGCTGCTGCTACCAATAGCAGTGCAAACAACAATAAGAAACAGAAGATGTCTCCTCCCGTCGAATCTCTTCTGTTGGACAAGGCTGAGATTTGGATACAAGGCATCCTGCCATGTGTTGGTATTGGACAGTACGGTTTTCTAGGAGCTGTCAACAAGAAGATGAATCAACTGTACAAAGAATACTGCAAAATTGAACTCGAGAAAAAGCCAAGAAGGGTAAAGGATAACCCAGGACGGTTTTCCCTAGGTCGCTATGCAGAAATCACCGACACTCTTTACAGCGAAACATTCTGTAACCAGCCACATGCAGAACACTGGCTCAAGCACAAATATTCCAGCAATAACGCAACTGAGAATGATCGTGTTTGTAACAAAATTGCCAAAATTGGAAGTCTGACTATCATGCTGTGGGCAAAACAAGAAGGATTCCCATGGAGTAAGTGGACATGTGCTTGGGCCGCTAGGAATGGGCATTTGGAAATGTTCCAATGGTTAAGAGAGCATGGTTGCCCGTGGGATTTATGGACATGTCTTAAGGCTGCTGAAGGTGGACATTTGGAAATTTTGAAGTGAGCTCGTGCAAATGGTTGTCCATGGTGTCAACATACATGCCATCAAGCTGTGGAGAATGGCTATTTTGAAATCTTAAAGTGGGCTCGTGAAAATGGCTGTCCATGGGATAGAGGGACATGCTTTCGTGCCGCTGAAAATGGACACTTGGCAATCTTGAAGTGGTTGCATGAAAATGGTTGTCCTTGGGATGAAGATACATGCGAGAAGGCTGCTCAAAAGGGTCATTTGGATTGTCTCCAATATGCTCATGAAAATGTTGTCCGTGGAATGCAGTTACATGCGAGTTGCTGCTGAAAAGGGCCAATTGGACATTTTGAAGTGGGCTCATGCAAATGGTTGTCCATGGGATGCCGATACATGCCGGCGTGCTGCTCAGATTGGACATTTGGAAATGCTCAAATGGTTAAGAGAGAACGGTTGTCCCTGGGATGAAGCGACCTGTTTTCGTGCTGCTCTATATGGACATTTCGAAATTGTAAAATGGGCTCATGAAGATGGTTGTCCATGGGATGAAGAGACATGTCAATCTGCTGCTATAGGTGGACATTTGGAAATTTTGAAGTGGGTTCGCGCAAATGGTTGTCCATGGAATGCACTTGCATGTCAATCTGCTGCTGCAGGTGGACATTTGGAAATTTTGAAGTGGGCTCGTGAACATGGTTGTCCATGGAATGCAGATACATATCGATTTGCCCGCATGTTCAACCGAAGCGAAGTGGTCCAGTGGCTACGTGCCAATGGCTGCCCTGAGACTGATTTTGATGAATTGGATGAGTTTGGTGATGAAGGGGATTATTAATTTTTCTTAGAATAGAAATGATTATATACCTGTCTGAGTCTAACTTTATTTGGCAGAAGTGAGAAGGCTTGCATCAAATCTATTGAAAATAGTTCAAAGAAGGAGGGTCCAACAACTCTTTTGCATCTGTAAGTATGCAAGGCACCATTCTGTAGGACTATCGTCGGCTTCTGGTAGGAGTCTATTGTGTGCCCTTGCTTGCCCTTGCTGCCCTTGCTGCCCATAATCATTGGATCTGCTGCATACGCACTCTCAGCTAGAGCAATAGGTTCTTGTCTGGGGTATAACAGTTGTGGGTGTTGAGTCAAGGATGATGGCTCCTCCAGGTTCCATGGGCAAAGGGAACAATGGACTTGTGCAAATGTGGTGCCGGCACCTTGGGGGATTGGTCTGGTGAGGACACTGTTGACTGGGTACCCTGATGGTGGTGGTGGTTGGCTACCAGCATGGGTGACCTTGATTGCTCATAGGCTAGGTTGCTGTTGCCAGCCCCATCACTGTGTGTGGGCCGGGCACAGGTGTGTGCTGGTTGGCTACCTTAGAACTTGGGCCCATGATGGACGTGGTACCAGCCACGGGTCTGAGTAGCCGGTAGCCATGGAGTCACTCTCATCGCTGCAGAGGGAGAAACCTGAGAAACTTGAAGCCTTTTTACCCCGAGGTGCAGGGCTGCGGCAAGTCAACTGGGGGAACTCGCTGGCTGGATCAACCTTGGTATGGATTGCAGGGGCCGATTGTTGGGGCTCAACCCTGAGGCTATCTAGCTAGTTGCATCTCCACGAACGATCCCCCCCGGTCCCTATGCAAGGAAGGACCCGATCAGTTTGTAGCTCTCTGTTCTGTCCGGCCTGCAGGCTTGAGCATGCAGGCAACCCAACACTGTCGAGGGCTCCAGCTGTGTATGTGATTGCCTCTCTAGCTAGCTACCGGTATCTAGCTAATGGCCAGCTAGAGTGCGTATTGATACTAGCTCTGACACCATCAGCGCGCATGATTCCATTACATGCATGCCTGCATTGTGGATCAACTCTTTCAGCTATGGTTTTGGCTGCTCAGAGCGAGCGAGCTATTGTCTTAGCTATACAATAGCAAGGTCATTTGTAGGTATTAGATACCGGTAGGGCGAGTCGAATGATGTTATCCATGCAGAAGTTTCAGGATTTGGTTGGATGCTTGTGAATTCACGAGGCCACGGAGGTGCCTCTGCTTATCCGAGACGGGCGTCTTTGGCCATTCCTGCGCGCAGGCTTCGTCTTCCGGTGTGTTTTCAAGGCTCCGTTGCACTCGACCAAGCTTGGAGCCTCCCTTTCAACAATCCAACACAATAAAAGCCCAAGTGATTGGAACCAAAAGTACCTCTCTGGTGGGAAAGAGCAACAAGAAAGCCAAGAATGTCGTTTCGCTCCTTTTGCCGTACCGTGAAGCTTGCGCTGCTGTTGCTTGCCTGCTTGATTGTGATTGAGATTGATGTGGATTTACAAGCTTTGCGAGAATCCGTTCGTAGAGCTCAAGAGCAAGGCATCGTCGAGGCGTTCAATAATAATAATGGGACCGCGATATGGCGTCGTCGCAACACCACCATCTTCTCCGAGCAATTCGCGTGGTCATTTCAGGATTTGTTCGTTCGACATGACGACGACAACATGTTGTTGGTCATGGACGACGACGAGTTTTTACAGCGAGACGATATGTTTGTGCCGGAAGATGAAAACGACAACGAAAACATTGGAACATCACATCACGAAACACTTTTAGATGTGATTGCCAGTGGCACTGTGGGTGACTTTGAAAGCGTCAAATCTTCAGAACAGAAGGAGAATGCTGCGAGTGATGACCTCAAGCAGGCCGAGAGCCGTCAAGAGCCTGAAGAAAAGCTTGCCAGTACGCTAGAGAAAAATTACGAAGCAAGTTCCTATACTCCAAGTCACAGGAGCATCCGAGAGAAGACTCGTCGTCTGGGAGAACGGAATGAGGACATTCACTCAAAGGGGGTTGATTTCTTGGAATTGACAGAATGGGAAGAACAATCATTGCAAGGACTTCTCTCGCCCAATAGCCCAAACAACAATCCTGAAGATTCCTGTCAACCACCCAATGGCATCAGTCGTACCTGCTGCCTTGGTAGCTTCAGCAGTGGAGGCAACGTAGAATCTTCGTTGAGAGGACAATGCCGTGCTTCCATGCAGAACCTGGGGGCTGTCCGAGAACACGCCAAACTCTTTTTGCAGCAACACCCGGTCACTGATGCTGCAACTTCAACAACTAATTGCGATGTGTGTCAGATTGTGGAAGTGGCCCTCCAACACAATCTATCCATTGCGTTGATTGGAGACAGCATGCACAACCAAGTTATGGATGGTCTGAGCTGTGAACTGGAAAGGCGAAACTATCAAGTCACCACGGAATGGATTCATCATCAGAATGTACCCAAGAACGTCCCGTACATGGTGCACTCTCAGACTAGACTCATTCATATTCGGTCGCCACTTTGGGAGGATGCGGTTGTCACCATTCAGTATCATCAAATCTACCGCTTGCCCTTGCTTGATGACAGTGTCATGCCCAAACTGACGGCTCAAGCGGACGTTGTGGTGCTGGGATTTGGGCTGCATTGGTGGTATGGAAACACGGCGGGGAAGGGGCAGCAGGCCATGAGGCGAGAGGACAACTATGTAAAGTACATGAGCAAGCTCTTCCGAGATGTTACGAAACAAGGACATGTGAAATTGCTGGTTCATCGAGAGACATCGGCACAGCATTTTGATGCACGAGGTGGTGAATACTCCTTATGGTAAGTCTTCTTCTGGTTGGATGCTGACTTCACTGGAGGCGGAGAGAAACGTTGTTTTCTGATGACAAGAGCTGTGCTGTACACTTCAATTTGTAAATAATGCTGCAGGAATCGACAGTCTATCCTAAACAGATCGGGCAAGTGCCATCCAATGGATCCACAGGGCGATGCTTACAAGTGGAGAGAAAAGGCCGTTGAAAGGGCAGCTGCGAAAGCTGGTCGTAAGTTGCTAGTTGCCGGGCCTGACATGCCGCGTTTCAGACAACACGACAAACAGAATGAGTTGGTTGTGCTCCCGTACTTTGACTTTACATCCCAGCACCACGGAATGCACCCACGGCGAAAAGACAAACATGGCGTTGATGACTGTACCCACTACTGCAGCTCTCCGTTCATGTACATGCCCATTTGGAGGTCTCTACGTCTTGCCATGGATCGTCAGTTCCCACTTCAGCAATAAAAACCAGCTCGACGTAGCGTGCTGCCAACTCCTTCCGTTCATTTCTCAGTGCATATCATATTTTCATTAATAAATCAGTTATCCTTCTATCCAAAGCTAAAGATGTGGCCGTATGGCTGGTCATACGGTATATCCACCGGGAAGTCGATGGGGACTTTCAACACATCGTATCGTTCCATGACCTCCATAATTTGAACGAATCACTACAAAGCCGCTTCGCAGTTGTGAACTCTGGTCCTTTGCCATTACTTTTGTGGGCTTTCAAAAGTTCCTGGTAGCATGCAAACCTAGGGATCACCAGCGGGAGTGTCCGATGCATCATCAGCGGGAGTGTCCGAGGCAGGGGGGGCTGGTGGTGGCGGCGTGGGGGCTGGAATGACTTCGCATACAAGCGACAAATTGCTGAAAGATTCCCAAGCGTGGATTGCCACATGAACCGTGGTAACTGGAGTCTGGACCGGACCAGTGGTACAAGATTCGTAAGAGCCATAGCGGTAGCTGTAGCATGCATTCTCGACACTGGCGGGGTTCACTTCAGCAGGAAGGCCGAATCTGACGTAAAGATCTGCGTCGCCATTGTTTGCCGAAGTGGTACACGCCACCCTGTCACCTTGTTGAATCGGTCCAAGCATGTAGCGAAGGGTTTCCCAATTTGCTCCTTCCTGTCCTTTGATCTGAACGCCACTGATTAGCCAGTAGATGACGGGTGGGTCATGGGGAACGCCCACGGCATCCCACGCCTTGTGAACAGCATCCTTGTAGTGCCCACCAAAGATCTCGGCCGTACAGACACGTGCCATCCAAAAATTTGAACTTGGAGTGAGGCAATTGACGTTGGCGTGGTAGAAAATGTAAGCTGCGTTCACCCATCCAATCTTGGGAACAACAATGTCGGTTGCTCCACGAGGGTGTGTTCCACCGTTCACCAACAGATAGAAGGCCAAATTGGCAATGCCCGAATTCCAATGGACACTGACGGAAGGCAAAACTCATGAGGCTCCACATGTCACGCTGATTGAATCATTCGTTCTCCGGCACGCAAGGAGAAAACTTGTTCATCACTTACCCGCCGTTGTCCGCATTGCCTACGTAACGCGTGGGATAGAAATCATAATCACCGTACAGTTGTGGATCAGAGAGGCTACGGAGGGCATCGCCGGGAATGTGAAATGTATAGACGGCTTCACCTAACTTCCACACATCTTCATCCGGATACCCATTCTCGTGCTCGACCAAGGCAGCAAAGATATCTGACATGGCTTCATTCAAGGCACCAGACTCTCCACGATACACAAGGTTGGACGTCGAGGTGGTCAGCCCATGGGTGAGCTCGTGAGCAACCACATCCAATCCTTGCGACAAAGGAATGAAGATCACTCCATCACCATCTCCATAAGTCATGCGTGTTCCATCCCAGAACGCATTGTTGTAGTCGACACCATAGTGGACTCGAGAAATGAGTGGCATACCAGCACCATCCATCGAGTCGCGGCCAAAACCATCCCAAAAGTACTGGTAAGTGAGGTAAGCATTGTTATGGGCGGCATCCAATGCAACATCTCCAGTGAGGATGGGACCGGGGTTTTCTGAAACTAGAACACAGTTGTCTCCGTAGCTCTCTTGACAATCGTAGGTTTCCATGGTAGGGATGCCCGATCCCAAGATCATGGGAAGACTCGCACAAAGCTTGGGCATTGGTTTCACATTGGCATCCACGCCCTCCGAAAAGAGTCCATCAAAGACTCCTTTCCCGTCAGAGGAGGGACCTGATGTGGCATCGGCAAAGATCATGTCGGCATGGACGGACAAACCACTGTCGTTGCCATCATGAGCCATGTACTGGTACAATCTCCTAAAGGCAACACAAGCAGAACCATCTTGTGGACGTCTGACGACCGTCAGCGTTGGCTTGTCGCCCACCCATTCACCACGTTGCACGCCGGCTTCTTCGACTGCTTGGTTCAGGAGATAATCGGCATTGGATTGCGTCGACGAAGCCCCATTCACCATGGATGCAAGCATGGTTTCTTTGTCTTCGTCGACACGTACAAATTCACCATTGACCGAGTCAATGGTTCCATCTTCGTCTGCGTGAATGACCAAAGAGGCTCCTTCTACTCTCAGACCCTGCACTTCTTGGTAGAAGCGAACATGGAGACGGCCGTCATTGTCGGTGTTCCTGGACTTTTCGACTAAAAGCTCACGACCCGAGCCTCCAAGTTGGGCCGCCAAGCTGGCCTGGAAGGAAGGGCTAAGCAGAGTTGGTTGATCCAAATCCAGCGTTCCCAAGGAACCTGGTTCACCCGCCTTGAGAAGCAAGGGCCGACTTGGATCAGAATTTCCCATGAGGAATCGTTGGGACTGAGTTTCGTCAGGCATTGCTTTGTCCTGCCCTCGCAGACCGGAAGAGTAAACGAGAGTCATCTCGGCGGCGAGCAAGAGCCAACTGAAGAGTGCGGAGCCAGTAATGAACGATTTCATCTTGGTATGTTGCCAGTGGAAAGAGAGTAAGGATGGGTCGAGATCAGGTTGCAAAGAAGAGGCTCTCCGGGTTGGAATTGTGAGACTCTTTCGAGCTGATGAAAGTCGGACTGAGCATGGGCCCCCGCATCTCGACAGTTGCCGAATATCTTTGGTTCACATAAACTAGATTAGGCTTGTGCTGCTGTTGTGTCATGGTGGAATAGTGCTTGTGGCGAGCAAAATTGTGACAACAGAAAGGAGGCTTTGGAGCTAGTAGTACGATGTACCAGAACACCACGCAGCGTATTCCTTCACCTCTAAACTTGGCATTTTCTCATGGCGACCAAAGTTGATTCTCACAATTGCATGTGCAACTTTTTTTGGATTGCCGAAGTTGAACAAAGAAACCATTGCCAAGACACCCTGAGATAAACATCATGGGCCACATCCTATTCCGTTGCAGACGATATATTAGTATGCAAGGATGCTACTGGTATCAGGACATGCCGCGGTAGACTGAAGCTTTGTCCGCCGAAGCTTCTCTCGAAGTGTGTGTCAAAAGATCTTCTCGCTTCACGCTGAAAGCTTGTACTTTCACCGTCAGCGTGCCTCCAAAACACGTGGGCCATAAATCTCTGTTTCTGCTCGACGCACGGGGTTGACCCTTTGATTGAAGAAGTACTGTACCGTTGGTTTTCGTCCATGGCAGCTTGTGCATGAGCTATTAAAAACACAATGAGTACCAGGCCAGGAACGTTGAAAGAGATGCCCTTGCAAGAGGGAATAGAGGCCCTTTACCAACCACTGCAATTTTTTGAAACCATGACCAAACCGCAAAGGCCATCGAAGTCATTGAGGCCATCAAAATGGCCGATGAAAGCAAGGAAACTAACCTGTAGCTACTCAATCTTTGGCATACTTGACACGACCCTTGCTCTATATGGAATACGTAGTATGAGTAGTGCCGAGTAGCCAGCCAAGTCGATCCCACACTTTCGGATAGATAGTCTGGCTGCGCCAAGTAGAAAACGAGCAAGACGATCTCGGGCTCCTGACATTTGGCTGCGTCTGACTGGAGCGAAATGATGGTTCCGATTTCTTTGTAGACTGGGTTACGTTGTTCGACAGTAGACACACCCATCTCTTTGGAACGAGAACAGAGGTAGGCCAAAGCAAAACACCGGGCAACGAATATGAATCATTGAGACAGACAGAGTCAATGCGAGGTGGATGCCGTCACTCACCATAGGCTTGGGTGCTTCGATAAGCCGCTATGAAACATCGAGGGCAATACATTAGGCCAATACTTTGATGTAGGAGCAAAGGCGACCTATTCCAAGGCAAAAGAATGCAAATTCTCATCATGGACCAGGCCAGTCGCCTGCCTCCAAGGCCTTTCTACGCGTAGCCCGCTTCCTGCTTTCCTCTCAAATACATGTACCACTAGCTAGTACTTGGCTGAAGGTACCATACTTCTTGCTGTGCATGTGGGCATCACTTTTGACCTTGTGCAAAGAGGAACTACAGGTTCATCTCCTCTCTCTTGAGACCCATGTGCATGCCTGTTTCGCTGTTTCGGGGTTTCGTTTCGCCTTTTGTGGTTGCTGCGGTGCCACGTTAGAACCCGAACAACAGGAGACGAGGAATGACTTAAACTTGAGTGCTCAGAACTTACAGACTCAACTGCAGATTGCGTTCTAATGATTTAACAGTCACTTTTACTGTTGGAGCACTTGGTCAATGTGTTAAATAGAGAGCCTTTCCAGCGGTAAAAACATGGTCAAGGGGGGTCTACAGTAGAAACTGGTTTTCGAAGACTGCAACTCGACTTCTTTTCAATAAATCATTTTTTAAGATCAATACTCCCCTTCATTTTTAGTGTGTTCTTGACAAGCCCCCAAAAGCACGCACCTTAGAGGAAGGTTATACTATACAATACGTATCATATATATCATACGCATGATACGTATCATTATGTATCATACAAAATCACATTAGTCATTAAAATCATGATGATTTATAAGTATTATTATATATATTAACCATATGATAATAATGATATTATAATTATATATGTAATATTATACAGATATGTATCATATGATTGTACGATTTTTGCAGTTCTCAGTTGACTGTTGGTAAGGCAAAAACACTGTAGCTATTGGTCCATGGATCAAGTTATTTGTTGTTTGGGCGAGCTGAGCGGAAAGAATGATCTTTCTGCAGTGTTGCTCTAATTGGTTCTGAGATATTGACATTATCTCTTTAAAATTCTACGTCGGTAGCGGTCTTTTTCTTATCGGGTCCGCTAAATATCTAGACGGCCAAACACTCCTGCCGTGGTCCTAATGGATCCACGGAACGATAAAACTAAACTAAATAGGAGGATGCCATCAATAAAGCGTTCGATGCGCATGGAATAGGGCACCTTGGAGGGGATTCGTGAGAAGAGTCCCCGTGCATGTCATGTGGTGGACAATACACCACTCGTACATTTCCCTGCTTCACTTGTGGTCGTGAATAAAGAGAGAAACGCACATTCAGAGCAACGAGTAACGCTTACCGCGCTGCTCTTACCATTCTCGAGCGAGAATGATAGCGACTCTTGTTTGTCTTGGTAAAGGATGTTCTCCTTGGACATCGACACCTTTTGCGCTTCCAAAAACAACTTGATCCCTACAACAAAGGAGCTCAATAACATCGTCGGCTCCAATGAGTTCGGCGTCGTACTGCTTCGGGCGTTGAGTTTCTGTTTGCTAGACACAGCAATTGGTGGCACCGCGTCCGTAACTGAGCACTCCTCCGGTATGGGGAACGGTAGTCTGGGTGTACAGACAAACTGGCATCCACCCAACAGCGAATAATGCGAACGTCGTCAGATGTGAGGATGAGCTTGTCGTTCAAAGTCTGTTGAATAACTTGAGGCCTTGGAGAGTTTGTCCCAATCGTTCTGGTTCGGCTGTTTCACTCGGTACAAAGGACGGTAGTTCAATGTCTGCATGTCTGGACGAGCACGTTTACATGCGAAGAGTAGCTTGGCTGTTTTCGTGTGGAAGGTATCCTTCGTGTAGGGTCCAGATTTCACCGTCACACAGAAAACAAATCAGCTGGGGCTGCACTCGGAGACAGTACGAACATGATCAAAGTATACAGGGAACTCTTCGAGCACCTTGGTAAAATAATCGATCATGTCAATCTTGACTTTGCCCGGCTCAGAAAAATCAATCGTCATCCCTTGATAGTCATGCTTGGTCCTCTGGTTGCTTTGACAGCACGTAGTACCATACTTCTCGTTGCACAGTCCAGGAAGTCGTCATTCACCTTGGCCATCATATGACTTGAAATGAGGTCGTCGACATGGAAAGGATAAGTCAAGTTGCTTGCCAATTGACCATCTGTTGGCAACACAAGGATCGTAGTTAATTCGAAACCATAGTACTCCAAATCCTTGCGGAAGTGCCTTGTACCCAAAGTAGTACTTGCCGATGA